TCCCCCTCCTCCCGGCTCTGCCCGACTCACCCTCATCTCCGCCGCCACTGCTGGGTTTCGGAAGCCACTTCCAAAGCCCAGCGGCGGCGGCGGCGGAGAAAGGAGTGAAGGGTTGGGAGGAGGGCGGCCGGGATCCGCCTCGCGGCCGGCTACCCCATCTATTGTCTTTCTTGTTGATACATTTGCACCAATTAACATGACTACCACTTCAAAAATAAATATCACAATTATTAATCCATTAATTTTTAGTGATAGAATGTGTGTATGAAGATTTGATACAGTATATACACACTTCTCCTGTCCTTTATGTATGACACTGAAAGTTCTTCTCCACTGTAACTAAATTTCAGATTCTAGCAGCCACTGCTGACTGAGGCAGTGAAACAGACATAAATAATTTTTTTACAAGCCAACAAAGGTCCTGAACTGAAGAGGAATGAAGGAAATGTTGATTTCCCCAATCACTTTATGTGAATCATAAAAATTAATTGAGTAGAACAGAAAAAGAGTTGTTAAGCAGATGGTGTAGTTCACTTTTTCTGTAAATTTAATTCTGTTCTTTTGAAACCATTAGTCATTTGCATTGATATGTCACCAGCCCATTTTCAGGACAGATATAAAAATGGCATACTGAGGTTTTGACTGCATGGGACTGGCTTCTGGAGATACTGCAAATATTTTCCAACACATATCTGTTATGCAAGAAGTGGAATTGGCATTCAGACTCTTCTTTAAATGCGATCATCAAAGCAACAATATAATGAAGCTCCAGGTGTTTTTCTTATAATCATTAATTTAAAAAGGAGCCAAAATGCTTTTTATAGTATTATTATATATTATTCCAGGGGCCTTTGAAGAGAGTTAGGCAAAGGAACGGTATTTTATTTTATTTATTTTTCCGGCTTTTACGCCGCCCATATAGATTCAACGAATCTACTCCGGGCAGCTTACAGTCTGAGTATATAACAAAAATTAAAACAACAATATCAACAGCATAGAGTAGTTTGCCCAAGATCACCCAATGAATTTCTATAGTTGTGTAGAGATTTTGATTTCTTAAATAGAAAACACTCACTGTGACAACCTCTGTCATAAACGCTGCATTACAGGATCAAAGTATGAGATTGTCCTACTTGTCCACTTCTACCCTTGACAACTGAGTGAAGAATATGGATGTGACCACAACTACGCACATCTGGTACACATACTTAGGTAGCATCTTGAATGACTGTAAAAGCTATGGGAGCAATGGTCATTGTAGGAGAAGGAGCACAACTCAGAAAAAAAAATTGGGTCATAGTGACATATGGGCCGCATTCTTTTTCTCTCTGTTGATAAAATGGGGTAACTAACCCAATACATTTGTGCTGAATCATCTAAAAGTGAGAGTTGGAGTAGGAAATAGTCTGCCTAATTTCATGTGAGGTTGGGTAGACTGTTAGCAGTCTATTGGAAAAGATACTGTATGTCCTTGAAGTATGTTAAAAGTTGTTTTTAGATCAAGAACCTATTTCCTGATCTCTTGACATTATTTTTTGTTTTACTTGCATTTTATTTTTATTCATGTTTTTGATTTTCCTCATCTGTAAAGTGATCTGACACTTTTAAAGATGAATTTGGTAATAAGTTTACTAATAAAAGATGACTGAATGGAGGAAGAAGAGACATGACATAGAATAAAGACATTAACCAAATGTTGCATAGATAA